GAGTAGTTCTGTACTCAAGCACCAGCTTACAAGGTTTTCAAGAATAGGCATAAAGTGGGACCACTCCCCAGAAGCATTTTAAAATCTCTGTAGATACAAGATCAGCATGTAACATTAAGACTCACAATAGTTATGAGTTCAGCCTTTGGTAAGCTGAGTTATCAGTGAAGTTTTAATAAAGTATGAGGGAATTTTGAGACACAAACTGAGCTGTGAAAGTCAGGTGAGATTTATAAAGGAGAAACAAGGTAGATATTTCAAATCTGGTGAAGATGTTCAGTATGGGTGGCAAGAAAGTGAGAAAATGGAGTAGCAGGAAGAAACTGAAATGCAGAGATATATGCCTAGTAAAGAGATGAACTAGTAAATCAATGAGTAGATGAGTTGCGACTGGAATCCAAGTCTCTAAACATCAAACTCTTAGGTCACTCTGTTCCTCTTAACTAGTCTTCTTGCCTCCATTCTGCCCCCTTCTCCAAGAAACTCACCACTGTATTAAGTTTCTTTAATTCTGATCAGGCCAGTCCCCTGCTTAAATCTCTTCAACGGCCTACTGTGGCTTACAGAAAGAATTTGAAACTGTAAAATAGCATACAAATATCCATCATGATCTAGACTCTCTCTTTTCTAGCAGGTCCACCATATGTACCCTTTGTTTCAGCCATTAACATCTACACACAGTTCCTTTATTAGGCATGTTACCATATCTCTCTACCTTTGTATATGTTGTTCTTTCAACCTAAAAATGCCTTTCCTTCCCCTTCTTCAATTAATGCCTTATTCTTCAAGCTTTGGTGTAAATGTCACCTACTATGGTTAAGCCTTTCCTTGTTACACTCAACCATCCAATTAGATTTAGATGCCTCTCAACAATGTATCACCCTCCTATGCATATCCCTATGATCTTTATCACACAGCTCTTTAATCATTAACTTCCCTGTCTCCCCCACTAGACTAGGAGCATCTTTGTATCACCAACCATCAGCATGCCTAACATCGAGTAGGTGCTCAGTAAATGTTTGTTGCATGAATGAACTCCTTGTGCTCAACTTTTCAATTAAATCAAAACATGATTTATCCAATTAAAAAACCAAGCCAAATATTCAGGAAGTTATACAATAACCAAAAAATTAACTTCTATTACACCAAGTTACTAATTTGACTCCACTATGTAAAGACCAAAGGCTTCAGAAATGATACAGAAACACAAAGCCAAAATGCAAAAACATCTAAGACTGTTAAGCCCTTCTTCACCACTGTGTGTGTGTGAGGGCTGTCAGTTCTACCTTAACAATAGCCTCTTTTAATAGTCAAGCCATTGCCTTAAATATGTGGAATTCAAGATGCAGCTCCTTCATAATACCTCTAGAGTTCTACTAGATTTGACAAAACATACTCCATGACTGACACTAAATTAGTAATTAATCACTAAAATAGTAAATTAATTAAGCATCATGCTGCTTGATGACATGCTACAATCTGGGCCTAACCAAGGAGCTACATGAGTAGTAAAGCTACAAAGCTTTACTACTAATGCATTATTCAAAAGGTGCGAAGTCCAAGAGATGAATGCCTTCAGTAAAAAGAATCAAATAGGGTCATTATGAGGATTCACAGATGAAGAAAATTAAACTAAGTTTTGTTAAATTTTTATTTAATCTTAAACAGAAAAATTCTTTTTTTTTAAGATTTTATTTATTTATTTGACAGAGAGAGAGAGAGAGAGAGAGACAACGAAAGAGGGAACACAAGCAGGGGAAGTAGGAGAGGGAGAAGCAGGCTTCTCGCTAAACAGAGAGCCTGATGTGGGACTGCATCCCAGGACCCTGGGATCATGACCTGAGCGGAAGGCAGATGCTCAAGGACTGAGCCACCCAGGCGCCCCCCCACAAAAAAAATTCTAATACCCATCAAAAAGTTGAGATATAAAGTAGTTCCTCTCAACAGAAAACATACCTTCCTTCCCCAGTTTTTCAGAACAATGAGAAACTAAATGAAAACAAATGAATCACAACCCTTATACTTTAATGAATCCACTATAGCTATTGTTACTTTTTCAATGTAATGAAAATTTTCATCTTAGCTAATACTATATATAGATATTATCTAATTAACTTCTTTTTACTCCCAGAAATCTTCAATACCAATCATTTGTGTGATCAGTACTATTTCCCTTCTCCCTTCATCACTGACCTCCTCCTCTCCCTAGTAACTTGGGAGTGGAATCAACTAGCATACCTTTACCCTCTCTCTTTGGTAACCCAATAGTTCTTAGCCTTCTATAGGTAACAGGCCCCTTTGAGAAACTGATGAAAACTATGAGACCCAGAAAAAATGAATGTACCTATTACACTCAATTTTTTTCATACAACTTCAGGAGTTATCCCCCACAGTTACCTACACAAGTAATTTCTATGACCATATAGCTCTCTTTTATAATCTCATACAACTCCTTTATATACATAAACAATTAAGAACTTTACAGTGATTAATAATGTAATACTCAAAATAATATAATTAAGTAAAATTTTATATTTCTGGCAATATTTTAAGAACCCCCAGATGAACTCCACCCTAAAAGGCCTTAGAACATGTTGAGCACTTCAATAAGACAGCTCAAAATAATGAGTAAGGCATTTATTTTAAAAAAATGTCTTAGCAAGTCTTGTTGTTTGATCAACTTGCTTGCTTTAAAATGGCTGAAATGTCTTCCTAAATTTGTTTTTATTAACTCTGACATATCTGCTTCTAAAATCATGGAAGTCTCAAAACTTAATTTGTGCAAAAAGGAAAGTTCCAATTGCTATTAATTCTTGGATTCAAATACCCGTTCTACTATATCAAGCTATGTTCAACACTGAATGCTGTAGCCAGTAAGTGAAAGTGATACCATCTCATAACGATCTAGTTACCTCATCAAAGCAAGTAAAACATAAAAGATGAAACAGAACAAATACCAAAGGGAAAGGAAGAATATAATCAAAGTGTTATTACTAAAAGAGATAAGTGCTTTCTTGAAAGTGTAGTTCCTAAAAGTAGAAGCTTCTTGCTAGATATACCAAACTATTCGTGGACACTGAGCTGATGTTTATTTTTGCTTAAACTTTTAATCACTGTTTAAATATTTTTTTTAAAGATTTTATTTATTTATTTGACAGAGAGAGATCACAAGTAGACGGAGAGGCAGGCAGAGAGAGAGAGAGGGAAGCAGGCTTCTTGCTGAGCAGAGAGCCCGATGTGGGACTCGATCCCAGGACCCTGAGATCATGACCCGAGCCGAAGGCAGCGGCTTAACCCACTGAGCCACCCAGGCGCCCCTTAATCACTGTTTAAATCACAGTTTTGTACTGGGTCAAAAAAAAAAAAAAAGAAACATGCCCACTCTTTTACCACAAACTGATAAATTTCAAAGCTGCATCAGAATTTTTAAATATATTAAATGTTGGTGATACACTCACAAAACTTTTCTAAGTTTCATGAAGCTGTGAGCACCTATTATTAAACCAATTAGCCCTCTACCAGCATAGACAATTCACAAAAAGAAGTTTCTTCATTTGTGAATACTGGGTTAACAGGATATATCAAGTAAGCAAGTTATCAGTTTGCCTCAAGTTAGGGTGGAATTGATGAGACTTTAAACTGTTCATTTTATTCTAACCCACTAGGTCCCTTCTTCCCACACAATGGAAATATGTATACTTCCTGAAATAGTAGTTTGACATGTCTTCCAGCATGGACAATTCATTATTGAAAGGCAAACTGGAAGTAAAAGAGAAATGCAACAGGTACATACCAAATGATCAGATGCCGTAAGAAAAGACTTATTAGTAATGTCACTGTCTCCTCTGCTATTATAAACAAGTTGCTGGTGAAAACTCAAAAACTAAATGTGCAACATGTGCTGTCCTTCTGAGTTAGAGGAAGAAACTTCAAACAAGATTTATTTGCTGAACTTGTGCAGGAAAACTATTTTCCCTCATGCCACCCAAATTATAAACTTTATTGATAAATGTCTGCATATTTGCCATGGCTGGGAAAAAAAGACTATAGCCAATATATTTTGTTAATGCTACCAGTTTTTAAGTTTCACTATTAAACCATTTTCATATAAACTTAAAAAAAAAAAAAAAAAGAGGAACCCTTTTAACTGATGAGTTGAAGAAACTCCAGTATTTCCCAACCTAATACCAGGCCCCATAGATTACATTCCTCTGCACATTAAGTCAGTGGCAGGAAATGGACTGCTACCACTGGTTCACACACACTTTCAGGGCTATGAAACTTGTGCAGTCTTACTGCTTTTGACCATTCCTAATCAACTACGTGGAAGTACTGTAATGACTCTATTATATACACAACAATTGGGGGTACCTCACCCAACCTCAAACTCCCACGCTCCCCCCACTCTTACACAGAAATGTTTCTTGGGCGAGCACATGGAAGAGGCAACGGGAAAAGGCGCACGTAGGCGATTATTCCTTACATTTCTGGTAAAGCAGAAAGACTAGGAGCCTACGCTGTGTGGTTTTTTAAAGGGTGGGGCTGGTTGGCAAGTCTGTGGGTGGGCTCCCAAGTATTTGGATTGAAAAGAATTAAGGTTCCCCTTACCGGACGGTAAGCATTAAGAGTCAAAACCTAGCAACAGACTGCGGTGGGAAGGAAAGGAATCGCGGGAAAATTCATGCCCACTAGTTAGATAATCAACAGACCCTAGCCAGTACTCGGAGTCTCCCAAAGTTGGGGTGGGGCCCTTCTCTTTTCCACACTGCCTCCCAGAATGATAAGAGTGAGAAATGGGTTAAATGAAGAAGGGGGTGCTCTTCCGCCCCCACGCCGTCTCCGCGACTCCGCGGGGCCGTTCCTTTCGCGGCTCCCCGAGTAGCACAGCGAGGTCGCGGTTAGCCTTGGGAGGGGGCCCCGGGTCTCCCCGTGCGCAACTGCCGGAGGATCCTGGGGCTCTCGCTGTCCCCAAGGCCGGCGGGGACTGCGGGAGCACTCACCAATTTAGGTTTGTTTTTCGTTTCCTCTTCGTTGGCGGCCCGGTTCCCCGCGCTCCGCTTGTTGCTCCGGCCCCCACCGGGTTCCTCGCTGCCGCCTCCCGCTCCCGATGCCGCCGCCCCGGGCTGCTCCATCTTTCTCCGGCCCTATCACCTGTGACCTGTAACCCGACCTCTCCTCAACTTGGGGAAGCCCCACGGGGTGGTCCCGCTGCCCCAGCTGATTCGGTATCACCTCTTCCTGTGTGAGAATGTGTCTGCCTGGAGAGAGGCTGATTTCAGGATCCCGGCTCCCAGGCACCCTCGACGCAACACGCTGTTGCCACTACTAGGCGCCAGGGCAAGCCCGGCCCCTGAGCAGCTGCAGTTACCGCGGTCGCCGGCGCCGCCGCCCTTAGGGCGGTGTTTAGGGTGAAGGGAAAGTAGGTGCCTATCTCTTTAAGAGGGCCTCGACACATGTGATTCATCAAAGTACCCGCAGTCAGCCGCCCGGGCGCCGAAAGCTGCTTCCTACTCCCAGTGCCGAGTGGGCCCCAGCTACTGAGCATGCCCAGCGCAGCGACCGGAGCCAGAGGACAGCAGAGGACTTTAAGCTGTGGTTAAGCACGGATTTCACTTCCTAGGGGCCTAGGGTGAAATGAAAGGGAACTAGTGAAGAGGAAGGAGGTATAGCCCATTTTAGAGATAGGGAAACTGAGGCCCAGAAGGATTCAAGTGTGAGTTTAACTGGCAGGTCTACCTAAGTATCAGCTTCCACTGTTGTAGGCCGGAACACCTTTCCCACAGAGGCCTTGCTGGGGGTGTGGTCCTGCTAGGCTCCAAGGGAGGGGTGGATTGGAAGACAGCTGGCATCCTATAGGAAAACCACCACTGGAAGTGCTGATTAATTGCCTAGATGAACGGTAAGGGTCAAAGTGGACAGATGGGGTGCTTTATATTGCCATGATTACTTTGCGATCAAAGAAATACGGTCGTTCCTTTATTTCCATGCTGCTGGGTAGTAGAAGCAGCACACATCCACTACTTAATTTTGGGGGAAGGGGGAGCAGGAGCAGTTAAGGCTCTTTAACCAAAGTACCTATAGAGAGCTAGCAGTTGGATTGAGTGATTTTCAGTTTGGGGGACTAGCTTAGGTTTAGGGTTATTGTGAGGAGTAAGATCATGTGTGTCAAAGCTTTGTTTAAAACGTAAATCTCTAAACAAATGCTGGGTGTTTTTGTGGAGCAGTAGCACCGTACTGTAAACATTGTTAGTCTTTGGTGCTTGTGTTGTCAGGAAGAGGACTAAGCTATATTTCTAACATCTTTTTTTTAAACAGGGCCCCCTAAAAAGAGTTTACACACTGAGAACATTGCAGGGGTAGAGCAGGATTTGAATGAACCACAACCATAGACTTAAGAGCACATATGATAGAGAAGCCTGAAATGTAACCTCAGATATGAAATCTATTAACATGTCCATATGCCTGTTATTCACGTATCTTCAGGCTATGACTTCTTTTGCCCTCCCCTTCAACCTAAATTCAACTATGCTGAATCTAATTGGTTTATGAGCATATTTATTGAGAGAGCATTATGATAAATTTGTCCATGCTATAGATGTGAGGAAGCAATTAACTGGGACAGTAGAGTGAAAAGAACATAATATATCTAAAAACAGTTTAAATCCTGTCTTTGTCGTTATTATTAACTTTCTTTTTAATCACACAGGTGATAAACTACCCAAAAACAGTACAGAAGAAGAAATACATCCTTCCAGACAGGGTGGATAAGGAGCCCTAAGGTAAATTTGATTTGTCTAAGTTTCTATCTTAAAATTTGATGTATATTTTGAATTCGACTCACTATATGCATAGAAACACATAGGTGATAAATTGCTTAAATGTTTCCCCTCCGAAAAACTGAGTAAAAATGCATGCTACAGAAAGACATGCCCTGCATGTCTTTATCCAATACTTACTTCCAATTTCTGTTTAAGGGATATGGATATGGATTGGAATCCTCCAAGCTCAAACATGGGTCAATAATATGCTCCATGGGTATTTATTAAACTCCTTAGGGTATACCAAGTGCCATGCGGAGTGCTCTAGGTTAGAAGAAGGAATGGACACACTTTCTGCCCTTTAGTACCTGTACTGGGAGAGACAGACTGAACTGCATTTCAGATTCAGAACAGATATGAACAGGGAACTCATAGAGCACATCAGAGCGGTAAAGCACCAGAATGTCAAGGTTCCAGGACACCTTCCCAAAGAGAATGATGCTTGAGCTAAGTCTTAAGGGTATAATTAAAGTTAGTAAGTTTTTTTGACAGCCTACTATTAGGTACTGTGCTAGGCATTGTGGATACAATAGTGAGCAGGACAGATATGGCTTGTTCTAAGAGCTTTCAGGCTATTGGAAAGCATATTAAACAAAACTGTGTTGAGCAATTACAAGGCAAAGAAAGAGGGTGAAGAGCGTTTCAGGCAAAGGAAATGACAATAGCATGTGCAAAGAACGTATGGTTAAGAAATTGGGGGCACCTGGGGGAGAAGGCTTCTGTTGCCAAGAGAAAAAGTAGAACAGATAAGCAGTTCCCAGATCATGAAGGAATTGTAGGTCTCACTGGTGTGGATTTAAAAGGGAGAAGACATTATAATACAAATGACCTCTGTTTAGAGTGTATAAATAAACTTGAAAATGGATTGGCATTATTTTGAATAAGGTTGGGTTTCACTGTTCTCAGGCAAGTGAAGCTACATTTGAAATCCAATTAGAGGTATGTGTAAAAGATGCATAATCTTACTGCAAAAAGTGAAAAAGTCTCTTCCTGATATGGCTTACATCCGACTTTACTGTGATTATCTCAGCCCTGCCCTGTCTTAATTCTCAAAGTTTGTTTTTAAGCATTTTGCTTCAGTTAATATAAACAGTAATTAAAAAAACACCCTTCTGTCCTACATCAGGGTCATTGGTCTCTCTTGGAAGTTAACATGTGAAAGAAACCACTACTGTCCTACAAGGATTTGCCCACTGATTATGAAACGGGCGCCTCACCAAGTATACAGTCCTAGGACTGATTTCACTGCTCCTGCATTCCTTTGTTTTTACCTTCCTGGGACACACAGATAGCTTGGTGGAGGGAGAGACCTCTTTCCTCTCATGCTGAAAAAAGAAGAAGGCTCTAACATTAGTTGGGATATCAAAAGTTTATGTTAGACGTACTGACCTGTGGTCTCTTCCTCTGGCTTCTCATGAGTTTAGCATCCAGTTAACTTTAAAAACTGAGCCCTAGGAGAAAAGAAAGATAAAAGGCGGCTAAGATCTATAGTTCTTCAAACTGACCGTAGAGTTCTTTGTTACCCCCAGAGGTTTCTGATGAGCCTCATAGTATCCCTCTTGCTTTCTGTGTCTCCCTTCTGCTGAACATTCTCTTTTAAACAATCTGGGTCATTAATAAAGAAATGAAAGGAAACATGGATTAGACAAAAATGAGAAATAACCCCCTTTAGGGTCATGGAAAAACATTTGTGATATAAAGTTTGCCTAAGAGTAAACAAGTATTTATTAAGCATATAGTATGTGCCAACACCAAAATAGATGTTATGCAAAAAAAAAAAAAAATACCAGACATTCTCCTGTAATATTATATATGTCTTCCTGAAGAATCTCCTGTTCTATAGAATTGCACATTGAGGAAAAATGGATTCTAGGGAAACATGGTTAGGGAAGATATTTAAATCCAATACAACTTTATAATCGAGCAGTAATGAAAATAATAACCATTCTAACAAGATTAAATCTCCATTGGCATTTGTCCAGTATCACAACCCTCAATGCTTGGTAGCCTTCATGCTTCTTCCTTCCTGTTGTGGCTCCTCAAGGGCATTCACTTTGAATAGATTATTATCTTCATCAAAATTAAAAATATAATTGGGGACGCCTGGTTGGCAGTCAGTTAAGCCTCTGGCTCTTGGTTTCAGCTCAGGTCTAAATCTCAGGGTCCTGAGATCCAGCCATTTGTTGGGCTCAGCAGGGAGTCTGCTGGAGATTCTCTCCCCACCTCCCACCCACCCCCCAATCTGTGCTCTCTCTTTCTCTCTCTCTCCCCCAAAAAAATAATAAATCTTTTTTTAAAATCTAATTAAAGAGTATGCAACTTTTTAAAACCTGTGGTGAAATGTCTTCACAGCTTTGTCCTCAGTAGTCACAGCTTTACCAAATAGTTTAATGTAAGGAACTTAAGAGGTGGTTGAAAGCACTAAACCAGTTATACTGAAGGGGCAGAGTCAGGTGCAAGATTATTCTTTTTTCCTTAAAGTCTTCATACATTGCTAGAATTTATGCTTAATTGTGAGAAAGCTTCCTCCTCATCATCTCAGAACTTCAAGAGCTAATAAGATTCACATGTGAACCAACTGGACTTCCACCTTATTTTGACATAATTCTTCTATTTATCAATTGCTAATATGCTTATTCATGGTACACAAATGTAATGAAACAGACTGTAAAATAGAAAATCTTTGCCATCAATAGCTATAAAATATACTTGAGAAAACAAACAACTAATTTGTGAAACAGTGAGAGAAGATTAGCTGCCTAAATTGGAGATACTGACTCTAAATTCAACATAACGTGGTAAAGGTGTGAGCTTGGTTGGACCTAGAATAGATGAAGAAGTTCTCAAGGAGAAGGTAGAACTTGAGCTGCTAAGGTATGAAGCAGAAATCAGGCGTGAATAGGAGAAACTAAGAAAGGAAGTAAGGAAAAGACAACATGTAGAATGATCTGGAAACAATACTGACCAATGATGTTGAGTGGCTACTGGGGCTTGAGGAGAATGCTGAGAACACAGATGTTGAATAATAGTAGGAAACATGGTTATCCCCCTAGCATTTTCCCAGAATATAAACAGATTAGAATGTAAGACACAGTGGTAGTAACAGGTAAAGTTCTTTAGCAAGAATGTTATAAAATAAAAAAGTAAGGAGCTGGTCTGGCAGTGGCATGCAGAATAAATTTTTTTTCTTTTTTTTTTAATTTAAATTCAATTTAGTTAACATGTAGTACAGTATTGGTTTCAGGAGTAAAGTTTAGTGATTCATCACTTACACATAACACCTAGTGCTTATCTGAACAAATGCCCTCCTTATTGCCCATCACCCATCTATCACATCCCTCTACCCACCACCCCTCCAGCTACCTTCAGTTTGTTCTCTATAGTTAAGAGTCTCTTATGGTTTGCCTCCCTCTCTATTTTTAAC